GCCGGTGAGATTAGAACCGCTGAACTGCAGATAACAGTCAGCTGAAGTGGCCTGCAGTACTGCACCCTAACCACTGCGCCACCTCGGCTCTCATATTTATGACTGTTGCAATGTCCCGGGGCAGTCAATGAGGAATCCAAAATCACTTAACTTTTGTTGCTAGCTTGACAATTGCAGTGATTCATTTAGCAACTTTGTCAAGAAAGGTTGTAAAATGGGATAAAATTCACATAATATGTGTCTCACTTAGCCATATAAATTTTGGCCTCAATTGTGATCTTAAGTTGAGGGCTATCTGTACAGACACTTAAATCAGCCCTATTGACTAAAAACTATTTCAGCAATATTACAGAAGAACAAAAACTATTTTGAAAACAAAAAAATGGGAAAGAGAATCAAAATACAGTTTACAGAGAAAATCCAAAGGCCGGGAATTCCTCATTTACTGCTGAGAGGGGGAAAAAACTCAACAAAAAAACCCATAGAATTTTAGAACATACTGTTCTAAAAATAAACATTAACCATTATTTTAAGCAGGAGAACTTTATGTTGCCATGCTAAATATTATATCCAAAATACTGTGCAAAGAGTATTTTGTACAAAAATACAAAGAATAGCAAAGAAGTTGACATTCCGAGAAAACGTCTAGACAGAAATGAACAGAAAATAACCAGTGAGTTCTAAGTAGCATTAGCTAAAGTAGTCATTCATAAACCTATCATACGTTTAAACATGTTGACAATATTTTGTAAAAATAATACTAAAACCTGCAGGGGAAGATAATGACACAATTGGGGTCCATTCTACCTTCCTCTTGACCTGCCTCTTACAGTATTTTGGAGGGTCTCCCCAAAACATTTTTGCAGCAGGTACAAATGAAAAAAACTGAAAAATGAAAATCAACGCCCTTATTTCTCTGCCATGTTAGTGCTTCGCCATCAACTACACAACAAGATGCAAAATCCATGTGCCATCTTCAAACAGGACACAAAAAATTTACTAAAGCAGCAGAGGCTGTGCAGTAAATAATATAAGCTAGTAAGCAAATGAATAGTTAAGAAAAAAAACCTAAACTATTTCCNAACCCTGAGCCGGTGAGATTTGAACCGCCGAACTGCTGAACGGCAGTCAGCTGAAGTAGCCTGCAGTGCTGCATTTAACCACTGCGCCACCTCGGCTCTGCCTAAGTCCCAGCTATGCAATGTCATCAGATTTCAATCAATGCCCCTCCTATCTTGAACAAAGTTCATTCAGAAATATGATCATACTCCTATAAAAACTTAGCTTTTGGTGTCTGGATGTAACAGGGAATATGAATATTTGAGTTGATATCAACTGTACGTAAGGCCATTTTGGATTTTTAAATCCCCCCCCCCAATTTTCAATCCAATTAGTATATTAGGTTTAAACACCATCGAGTCTTTTATGACTGGAATGGGATTGTCATCCTGTACTCTAAATTATTGCCATACAACAAGAAGGCTCGTGATCCTTAACACCTCCTACACATCATCTGGATGAGGAGAAAAGGATTTGTTTTGCTTTCTTGCATATGAGCGCACTTCTATTCTGCTTTCTTTAAACATAAAAAATTCAAAACAGCATATACAGTTAACTATCAGGAAATAATAAAAACAACCCAGAAATCACAAAATAATATAAGAACAAAAAACGGTCAATGTAGTTCAAATGAAAGGGATATCAAGGTGACAACTCATCTAAAATTGAGAAGACAGGCAGACAACCATCGTGCTCCAAGAAGGCATTTTTTAATCTGAATACTGCAATGAAAACAACACCCCCCAAAAATCTTATCACCCAATCATGCATTTTAAGAGGCATTGCAACACATCACAGGGCCTTCCATATGGAATGAACTGCATCGTATAGGATGGAGGAACTCATTCAGCTATACCCAACAGCAATGAAACACTTTATTTTACAACCACCCAAATGACTACATTAAAGTAAATACCGTCTAAACTCTGAATCTGCCAGAAGTTCATCCACAATCGTTTTCTTCCTCTCTTTCTTGGGAATACGAGCATGGTAGAAATCTGCTGGAGAATCCACAATAGTTCCAACCTGAAAAAGAAAATGCATGATGATTTTGTTTTTATTTAAAGAGGTGATGGAGAATTAACCTAAGGATAACATTTATTAATACCGAATTCATTTGGAGTGCTCAGCCTCATCTTTTAGTGTACAGGTAATCCTTGACTTACAACACTTCGCTTAGTGACCATTCAAAGTTACAACGGCACTGAAAGAAGTGACATATGCCTGTTTTTCAGTTATGATCCAAGGTCACACGATCAAAATTCAGATGCTTAGCAACTGACTCATATAGCAATAACAGTTAGACTTATATACCGCTTCATAGGGCTTTCAGCCCTCTCTAAGCGGTTTACAGAGTCAGCATATCGCCCCCACAGTCTGG